TATTACCAGCGAGGATCCTGAACCGAAGAATGATAGTGCTAATAGATACTGGGTCGATGATTAGTATCATGCCCATCAAGGTACTAGTAGATGCGAGCGAGAGAGGATATGATGTGGACTCTTTGAAGTTCCTAGAAGTGGAAGAGGGAAGTACTTACGACGCTTCAAACAACATCATGAAGTTCCTGGGAGGGGTGAAAGTTGAGGCAGAAATTGAAGAAGGATTTAGAAGCACAGTGGCATTTCATGTGACAAAGGAGGGAGACGAAGCGCTCCTAGGAACGAATGCATTGAAGAGCTTAGGCATCTCCTCCAGCAGTCAAAATCGGAAACCACAGCAAAAGTAATGGAGCGAGTCGTGATACCTCCGGGCAAAACGAAATTAGTGAGAATCAAATGTGAAGAAAGGGAGCAAGAGAGGCAGAGCACCGAGAATGCTTTATGGCCATCAAGAAGAGAGGTATCAGATGGAATTTTCATGGTAAAAGAACAGGAGGCAAAGGTGCCAGTGTTGAACACGACTACTGAGCCGATAGTGCTGCATCAGGAAGAAGAAGTAGGCACATGGGAAACGAACAAATGGTATGAGTCGGTGGAGGACTCAGGTGCTATGATGTTGGACAGCGATGATTGGAGCTCGCAAGGAAGCGACAAACAGGCAATACTACAAGACCAGATAAGAGAAAATAGGGGCTCAAAAACGCTGGAAGCAGACATCGAGGACGTTCTGAAAGAGTTTGAGGACGCTTTCGCAGTCAATGAAAAGGAGCTGACGCAGACAGACCTGGTTAAGATGAGCATCAACACAGGTGACCACGAACCACTCAAGATAAAAGCGAGGCCGGTACCTTTAGGCATCAGGGCGAAGCTCAGAACAGATGTTACAGGACCTCGAAAAAAGATCTATCATTGAGAAGAGCGCATCAGAATGGGCATTTCCTATAGTGTTAGTGGAAAAGAAAGACGGGTCGTTAAGACTGTGTGTCGATTACAGGGAGCTGAACAAACGTATCAAATTGGACTCTTATCCCCTACCAACAATGGATGCTATACTACAAAACATGGCAGGAAAGAAATATTTTTCGACCATGGACATGTGCAGTGGCTACTGGCAAATACCAATAGCTGAGGATTCCAAGGAAAAGTCGGCGTTCACAACACCGGAAGAGCTATATCATTTCAAAGTGGTGCCTTTCGGGCTGAGCACAAGTCCAGCAGTATTTCAGAGGCTTATGGATGCTGTGTTGGGAGACCTGTTGGGAAAAGATGTGTTTTGTTACATCGACGATATTATGATTTGTACGCACACCAGAGACGAGCATATTACACTCCTGCGCGAAGTGTGCAAAAGGATGAAAGCTGCAGGTCTGAAGCTCAAGGCGAAGAAGTGTTTCTTGTTACAGCCAGCTGTGTCATTCTTGGGACACAGGATAGATAGCAAAGGTGTTCACATGGATCCTGAGAAGGTGGAAACAATCCAGAAGTATCCAACACCCATGAATGAAAAGCAGTTGAAACGATTTCTAGGAATGGCATCGTTCTACCGCAAATTTTGTTTAGGATTTTCGAAGCAAGCAGGTCCCTTGTTCCGCTTGACATCAAGCGCGAAGACGTGGAGGTGGGGATCCACAGAAGAAGAAGTTTTCAAGAAACTCAAAGAAATGATCTCAACAGCACCCGTACTCGCACAGCCAAACATCGCGAAGGCAAGAACGGGAGGCAATCCCTTTATCATATGCACAGACGCTTCCACAACAGGAATTGGGGCAGTGCTGACGCAGAAGGGAGAAGATAATGAGATGCACCCTATCTACTTCGCGTCAAAATCGCTAAGTAAAGCAGAGCGGAACTACTACGTGACGGATCTGGAAGCACTAGCAGTTGTTTTTGCAGTGCGAAAGTTTCATATGTTCATATACGGTCTACCTACAATAGTTTATACCGACCACCTGCCGCTAACAGCGCTCTTTAAGCGATCGAATGTATCAGCTCGAGTTCTCAGATGGTCATTGGAGCTGCAGAGATACAACCTGAGTATCCAGTATGTCAAGGGAAAAGCCAATGTAGTGGCGGACGCTCTGAGCAGAGAAGGAGCGTGGAAGGAGGAAGCCGCAGTAGGAGAATGCGGAGAAGCTGTGGTGAACACGGTGTCGGTAAACGTTGAGTCCAAATGGATGGAAGAATTGAAGAACGATGAAGAGTGGAGATCGGTAATCGACATGCTCTCGGAGGGGAAATTAGAAGAGTACGTGAAAATAGCGGGCATGACACAACCCATACGCATAGCAGACTTTGCTATAGAAAACGGAGAGCTCACAATGTTTACAAGAGAAGGACTACAGGTACATGTCGTACCGAAAAGCCAAAGGAAAGAAGTTTTTCTGGAGGCGCACAAAGAGGTTCTAGCAGGGCATTTTAGTGCAAAAAAGATTTTCAATCAACTGAAAAGAAGGGTGTTCTGGCCAAGGATGGCCCAAGACATTCACAAATGGACGCGAGAATGTCAAAAATGTTTCGTTGAAAACGCCCGCAGCAAACTGGTACCACCGTTGAAACCGATCGCAACCACAAAACCGTATGAGGTCATTGGGGTAGACATACTGGAGTTAGGTCAGACCACGAGTGGCAATAGATACGCAGTCACTGTAATCGACCATTTCTCCAAGTATGCAGCAGCCTATCCAGTTCCAGACAAGAAAGCCGGAACAGTGGCGAAGGTGATATTTGGAAGATGGATAGCAGACGGTTGTCGGTGGCCGAAGGCAATTTTGTCCGACAGAGGAGGTGAATTTGAAAACAAAGTTATGAATGAGATCGTAAGGATAACAGGAATGGAACAACTCTTTACCAAGGGTTACAATCCACGAGAAAATGGTATCACGGAAAGGCTGAACAGCACCATCGTTACTATGCTACGGAAATGTACAGAGGTCCCCACGGAATGGGACACACGATTGCCATTCTGCATGATGGCATACAACATGATTCCGCACAATGCTACAGGAGAAAGCCCATACTTCATATTGCATGGAACAGATCCAATCTTTCCATCGAACTTGATTCCGTCCACGGGGGCGAGCATCTATCAAGGAAGCGGTGGAGAATCCGAGTACAAGACAGAGTTGCTGCAAGCCATTGCAGACGTACAACAGCGCGTTAGAGCATATAATGAACGCACAAGAGCAAGGATGAAACTGGAGTATGATAAGAGGAACCATGTAGAGAAAATCAAGTATCCAGAAGTCGGAAATAGAGTATACATGAAATGCCCAGCAGAGAAAGGGAAAACATCACATCCAAAGCTCACAGGTGATTGGGCAGGACCATTTAGGGTCTTAGACATCAGTGAAAACTCAGCACTCATAATCAGAATTGGGGAAAACACAGAGCCCATTAGAGTACAATTTGACATGTTGAGAGTTGTGCCCGCAGAGATCCCGAATGACCGTATTGATACTGTGACTAGTAGAGGGAGAAGAGGGAGAAAGAAACAAGTAAAAACAAAGTGTGCTAAAGTAGCCATGTATTTCAGGGACGCATATATCGAGGATGAAGCACAACCAGGTCATCTCCTACACCAATGCTTAGACGAACGCCTCGCAAAGTCGCAGTTGAATGAAACTGAAGGAGTGAATTTCCCAGTTGCCTTCGGGCGAGAGACAGTCGGAAGTGTTTGGAAAGCCTGGGTAGCCTGCAGCATATTTGGACGAAGCGACCTCGACTTGGAAGAAAAGATCAGGCTGTATCGCGGAGGATCAGTGTGCTTAGACGCGAAAGCCTTGCAGAAGGTGTTGCACTTGGCATCCGAGAAGTGTACAGAGTGGACGGAATTTATCTGCAGCAAGAGTGGAATAAAGAAACACACTCCAATCAGAGGATATGACGTTGTCGGGATGTATGACGAGGCACTAAGAGGATTCAAAGTCGAGATGGCGTTTGCAGAAAAAAGTCAGCGACCGAAGAAGGCAGGACCGATTGCGTACCTAGCACCAAGGTGCGCTGCAGCCTTGGAAAGAGATGGTCTGAAGGCAGGCGTCATTACCAAAGTCGCCATCCAATTCAGTCAGCTCAAGGAAGCCCTAGAAGGTCTAAAACACTGCAGGATCTGGGTCATTGTATGGCCAATGGATGCAAGAAGAGAAGAAAATGCAATCACGGATACGATATTAGCATGCAAGAAGCATCTGGAAGAAGGCGGTGAGCTCGTTTTGGTATGGCCACCCATAGTGTGCGATGAAGTAAGCATTTGGAAGATTATGTCAGAGCTATGGGCAATGATTGATGCCACTTTAAAAGAGTTTGCAAGTCCGGATCAGTTATTTCTATTGGCATCATCGCGAATCGAGAATGGCAAGGTGTGGATTGAGGCCGGAGCGCCCGAAAGCACATTTCAGTTTTATGGTAATTACTGCGGAGTGATGAACGCGAGGCTCCTGTATGAAGCTATCAGAAGACGAGCGACCGGCGCACAATTGGACGAGTTACAGCTACCGCCGCGAACGACGGCTCCCAGGAGGGGAGGGATGTCGTAGGAATCACCCATACATCACGGATACGGGGTTGGCGGGAAACGCCGCCGATTTGACCCTCTCGGAAGGGTATAAAAGAAGCGGATAAGGGGGAGCCGCGAGCAGAAGACGCTCGCGGGGAGTAGAAACGAGCTGGCCAGAAGAGAACCAGACCTCCCCCCAAGTAACGATCCAGCCAAGTAATCGAGCCCCCCAGCTCCAAGTTTTGCATTAGTTGTTGTTATTTTTTTGTTGGCCCTCGGGCCCTTGTTGTTGTTTCTGCGGTTTTCTGTACATAAAGCGTTCTTCATCCGCGCCTGTCCTGCCAGTCAAAGGTTCAAACCTTTTTTCCATACCGCTAGACCGTTTGACTCCATTACATATCTTCAAAAAAATTTATATCCGAAATTGGAAAGTTGCCAGAAAATTCCTTTGTCATTACCGCTCCATTCCTATATGAAAGCAGTCGATTTCTATGGTCGTAATCAAATTTCATATCGACCGATGGTCCTCGGGCTCCATCAATCTACCGTATCCATCCATCTCAAACGATATATCCCCTAAACACCAACGTTGGTTGAAGCAGTTCCATTAAGGACCAGCGTAATGCAAATCCAGAAAACTAACCTCTTTTGCTAGTCCATCCATTACCATCAACAGCATATTCCAGTCTTCCAATCTTTTTTGGCACACCGCCAGAATTCCAGTCAAAGGTCATATCGTTCACTAACAATGGTCTGCTATCATCGTTGTATGAAAAAGTCCACCTGTAGAAATAGCAATGACGTCACCTGCCACTTTTCCAAGAAAAAATTCGTCTCACCTCTCTTTGGAATTCATTTCACAAGTAGCCAGTCTGCCTTGCACATCAAAAGTCCTCGTTTCCTTAAACTCGTCATTCACCGTCTGCCAGGTGTTCATGGTCGCTCGCCCCCGCACTGTCGCGCACTGTCGCTAGCGATAAGCGAACGTCGCCGATGACGATTTTCAAAGCAGCTGGACGTCGATAAGCATCGAGCGTGGTTTCGTGCATCATCTGGACATTAGGTTTGGTTGTAATGAACGACAAAGCACCAAATGAGAGAACAAACTTTGAACCCTTGTATTCTAACCATAGTTGACTCTCGGAGTATTTGATAACCAGCTAGCGATGACATAAAAGCGGTCTTCTCATCATAAGTGAGCTAATCGCATAGATTAAATAATGGTAATGATTTAATGTATAGGCGCTCTGCGCTTTGGACTTTCTGTGGACTACGGTATGGGCGAAGGGGGAGGGATACAAGAGTGTGCTAGTGTCCTAAAGTCTTAGAGTTGTAAATCCGCCAAAAATTTGGGGAGCATCCCAGGCAATCTATCGAAACTTGGCTCATGCCACGCTCCTACAATTAGAAAACATTCTGTCCCACGCACCCCTCCCCTTCCTCCCCCACTCCAAAAAAAATTCTGAAGCCCCCACTGCAAAAAGACATGGAAGCCGGGCAACTTTTTATCCCCATGCCCACCCTGCATGGTTGGCTTGATTCCCGCAGGGTTATTCTACCTTAACCTACAGTAAGACGGTGCTACACAGTCCAAATAGTCTTACCTGTAAAGGTTCCACTGCAGTACCAGCTATCTGAAGAAGCAACTTACTTCAAAATCTTGCAAGTCGCTTATCTCCTCCCTTACCTGAAAGCAGAAGTGGTAAATTTTGAGATATCTGATCTAAAACGGCAAGCACGAATATAAAGGTAACAAATCATTGAAAACTAGACCGTGCGTGCACCTAAAAACAAAAAAAAAACACATCAAAATAAGAAAATCGGGCAGTTTGGCGTCGAATTTTAGCCTTACTCAGACAATTATGGCGAGCACCCGCCGACGACCCACGGGCGAAGCCACGCGCATCCCGAGGGCGCGCCGGTAAGTGCCCGATAAGCGCCCGACAGTGCCCGCGGGTGACCCGATAAGCGTCCGAAAAATACCATCGGGTGGCCCGACAAGCGCCCGATAAATGCGCGATTTGCACCAGCGGGTGGCTCGATACGCATTCGAATTACGAAGAATTTTGAGAAGCCGTTTCCACTTCCGGTCTAGCATAAAGGCGACAATCTGCACAAAAATACGGAGGGACGTTCACATCCCTCCTTATTGACGCTCCAACTGTTTAAGCACAATCGGGGGCTCCAGTTGCGTCATCCAAAACACTTTCGACGACCAGAAACTGGCTTGTCATGGAGATCTAATTTAAAGGGTAGCTCTGTCACCGGGTCGTATCTCTCGCAAGTAACGTTTCCTCTTACAGCGTGTAAGAATCGCGGCATCCAGCAAGGCCCGGGGCTCGCCAGAGTCGTTCTGTCGGGTCGAGGCTAGAGGGCCGGGGCTTGCCCGAAAACTACATATGCAGGGAGTCCTGTAAGGGCCGAGGCTCGCCCGTGAGGTTTGTCTCGGGCCGCGGGTGTTCCGATGAAATATTGAAATACCAAGTGCGCATATATGAATACCAGTGCTTCACCTCTGCTTCGCAGAGGCTCGCACTGGCCATCAAGAAACGATAGTAAACTTACGATGTGAAGGCTTTCTTTTAGATTATTGTCAGGTTGACTGCGGTGAGAGAGTCCTAATTAAAAATGAATTATACTCGCTATCAGAACCTCACATGCTCCAAAGTGTAAATCATTCCTCACTGTATTTTCGTAATAGACAGACTTACAGACCGACAAATAGGCGGCTTATTATAAGTCATGATATATGAAATACCAAGTGCGCATATATGCGCACTTGGTGCAAGTACCGCACGGCGGGAGCCCAGCACCTCTTCCGGAATTTCAAAATTGTGTGCGGTGACACACTCGCACCGAGGTGACTAGACGGATGACGCCTACTATATGTCGTTCGCGTTGCCGCACTTTGTTTTGTTGTTCAATTGGTCCTCCTCATATCTTCTAAACAGGTATCGGCGGCACAGCCCCACAGAGCTGTTTGAAAAGTAGGCTTATGCCCTGATAACCTTGGATCAAAAAATTCTCTCGTAAACGTTAGAAAGATCCTGTAAAGCAAGCTGCACCATGTGCAGCACCGGAATGTGTTAAATTTCTTATGGCTTGATAGTCGCCATAAAGACAACAGTCACGGTGAGCTACATCTTTGTGCAAAAGTTTTCTCAAGTACTTAGGTAAAACCTTGGCAAACCGGCGCCGTATTCGTAAAATAATAGATTTTCAATCACTTTCTTGGGCTAAAGTTCCTAGCTTGCACATTTACTTGTCAGACATAACAAATTTACAAACGGGTGATACGTACCAAATCTTGCATGACAAAAGCCAAGTGGATCCGTCTGACGCGCGTTTTTGAGCGTTCCACTCAACGAATTTGCACCTATTTTGAACGCTACTGCATGACGAAGGCGCAGAAGTAGTATTAGTTGAGCGGGCGCGAACGCGGCGCGCGCGTATGTTCACCATTGTGGATCCTGCGTCTCATGCGCTCTGCGGCTAATAGACCGCGTCCGCGTCCAAAGATATTGCGCCTTGGTCATGCAGCAGCCTATACATAGTGGACTTTCATGCAGGTAGCATGCGCTGTGCAAAATTTCGGTTCAGGACATTTCCTGAAACACGCTCTACCTATTTCGTAACAGACACACATTCACGCAAAGTCACTTGAACAACCTTAGCCCTTACTACAACTTATGATCCTCTCCGCGTATCGCTAAATAAGATTTGCGAATCAGGGAATCAGGCATGATGAAGATAAGTATCGCACTCTAGTTAGAGATACAGGTAAATCATTTCATTTTTAGTGCTGCTAAAGTACGCTGCTTATGCTATTCAACTGGTTGTTTATAATTCACTCGGTCAGTGAATGTAAGATCGTTTGTGCCAATATGGAATCAGGGCCTTACAACTTTACGTAATTTCTTCACTTTTCTCCTGCTCTCCCACCCCTTTTTTCATCATCAAATGACAATCACCAAAAATATTCAAAGCTAAATATTGTTCAATGTCAGCTTCAATTTCAAAGTCTAAAAAATCATGCACCCCAATGAACAACGTTTGTTTCTTGGTTCAATAATGGTGTTGTATTTTGGCATCAAAACATTGAAAAAAATCTGTTTGAAATTAAGATTAGTCTCTGAGTTACTTGTGGTTTACGCCCTCGGATCTGTAAATTTCCAATCAAATCGCTTTTGAGTTCATATAAATACCAGTGCGTCACCTCTGATTCGCAGAGGTTCGCACTGGCTCTAATATCTATGTGCCTTACTCATTCTCGTAAAATCGTGGCACTGCAACTCACCGCGCTATGCCGACTACCACGAATAAAATGTAAACAATCACTCATTTGGAAAGTCTTTTCACGTGAGATCGGTGATTTCGCGTGGATGAAACTTTTCGCAGGAGGACAAACGCAAATTTGAATGGGTTTTTGGATTTGTCATGGCTTGGTAGACGACCACTTTTCTGGCTAAACTCCATCGCCTGCACATTTGCTTACCAAACTCATCCACGACTCTGCAAAAGTGGTGATACGGACCGAATTTTGCAGTACAGAAGCCGGGTGGACCCGTTTGGCGCGCAATTTCTGAGGGATTCACTCAACGAATCTACTCTGCTTTTGCATGATTTGGGCTTAGAACGCTGGCTGGGCACGCTCCACGAATTTCGTAACAGACACACACACACACACACAAAAGTCACGTAAACATCCTTAGCCCGTTATTATAAGTCAGATGATAAGCTCTTTCTTTTCTACTGTTTTCAAAAACGCACAAATGTCTCCTCGCTATCAAGATTATTACGCCGGTTTACGTCATCCATGTTCAGATTTTGCGAGTTACGACCGAAGCATATCCTTACCTTTCGAAGGATGAAAATAATGGAACAATGGATCAGGAGCTGATAGTCAAACTGTTCAAGGAGAAGTACGGTTCGGAGAGGGTGCTGTAAGTACGACCTTATGAAAACAGTTCGAGTCGTAGAGCAGGAACATGAGCAGAAACAAAGCGACGTGTACCCAAATTGCTGTCGGTTTTAAGGAAAATGAGTACCTGTTCTTTTTGGTGGATACTGATTGGGAGGCCATAATTAAGATATTGCCGAAGCGACAACTCATATAATTTGCTAGTGGCCAACAACTGCAAATCTCAACTTTCGTCCAGTACCGTACTTTTTCCGAAGAAATCACTCAGTGTTGAGTACGCTACTGACCGTGAGTAGAGCATAGAGAATGCTATAAATAATTATTTTTAAGCTAGCGCAGCAATAACTTTTAAGCCTCGCAATCAGTAAAGGCATAAAAAGTGAAAGTAATCAGATTTTTAGCTCAAACATTTTTTCGTAAAAAGCACCCAGTGTAATTCAAAACTTCGTTATGATAAAGAGAAGGAGCTTGAGAACTCCTAATCAAGCAATCTAGAGCCAATTATAGGGAGCGTTCTATACGCATTATGGATGGACGATACGTTGACATATCTGACGAAGTAGGAAAAAACGCTAACCAGTAAGTGTTGTTGAGGGTAGAAATTTCAGTAAAAGCATAGCGTTAAGAAGCGTGATTTTTCGCAAAATTGGCGTCGGAGATAGGCTACTGACTACTGCTATTCTAAAGCCGCCCAAAAGTGAGCAACGATATTCTCATCTAGAAAAGTTTTTGACGTGAAAAGTAATTTTCCAGACCTTAGCGAAGACATCGATACGAGTAAATGGCAAATCGATAAAGAAGCTTTGGAATTTGATAGCTATGCTACAACAATGATAGGTTAAAGGCCGGGCATACTTCAAGCGATTTCAGTCGCAACGCGATTTGGCACTTCGCCAGAAGTGTTCAAATCCAACATTAGCAAACTGCGCATGCACAGTGTGTATAACTTGCGTGAATTGATAAAATGCCCCATCTTCCGTACATTTGTAATTTGCTTGCAATGAGTTATGGACAGT